GCTAAGGTTATTCTCACTCATTTGAATTATCTTCCAGTAGAAATAGTATAAATATGTTAGAGTCACTGTCATTTCGTTTTTGCTATGTAGTTAAAAAAAGATTTGGCCTGTAGATATATATTTACCAAGTTAACTCCTTTGATAGCCAAAGCATTTTGACTTCATTACTTTGCTAATGAAACTATGAGATTTAGGATTTTTGCTCAGCTCAAGTGTTGGAGTAAAAGGATAATATCTGAAAAACCTTGCTTTCTGAACAGAATTCAAATGATTTCAATATTCTTTCCACATTAGGTGATGGGCTTTTACAGAAAACACACCTATAAATTTGTAGCATACAACCTCTAAAACTAAGCCTCTAGGCCTTGTCTGTTTCCTGATAAGGAATGACCAAATCAAATGTTCTGGAGCTTTCTTGAACAGCCTTGTTGTAGAGGGGGAGTTTATATTTACTCTTTAGCTATCTACTTAAAGTTTATTAATCATAAAAGTCATAATTTAACCATGCATGGCAACAAACCATCCAATGATTCAATAGGGCATCTTCCATTTCTTAGACTACTGTAATTAGATAACTGATTTGTAATTTAAGTAAAAATGAAAGCTGACCTTTCTCCTTGAGCTAATATAATGCTAACCATATGAAAAACAGAAGATTTATGATTCAAATGAGCCTAAATTCAATTTAAGGGAATAGGACTATGCTTCTTCTTGGGAACTATCATCTTTTCGCCTTGTCAGCACAGATTTAACAAAATACCCAATGTATTGCAACACAGGAATTTCAATTGTGCATTCATATAAGATCCCAGTGTAACATGATGCTATGCAGAGTAGATATTTGGTGCAATCCATCATCTATTAAAATTCTGTCAGTGTGATGGGGAATTTCAAAGTACATTACAGAAGTCTGCATTGAGAAGCTGCAATGAATAACCGATTGCACTGACAAAAGTCAGCATTTTTGCTTCCTCACAGAAAAAAGTGAGTTCCTAAAGTCATCTAACAGTGTCTTGTGTCCTTGGTGTCTGTTCAGGGGAACAGTGACAAAGTGTGAACAGAAATGTTCTTGCTGCCCTAAGTGAGGTTTGACAACTTTCCAGGGGACCTGATAAGGTCTCAGAGTCCACTAACTGACAGAGAACTGTTTTCTTGCACAAACACCAGGATGATAGTTATAATGCAGTCAAGGAGAATTTATCCCCTCTTCCTTAAAAGTGAAAAGCCTCAGGGTGCTTGGGTGGCTCAGTCGGTTAAGTGTGGGATTCTTGATTTCGGCTCAGGTCATGATCTCAGGGTGGTGAGATGGAGTGTCGTGTGGGGCTCCATACTGGGTGTGTAGCCTGCTTAAGATTCTCTCTCTCTCCCTCTCCCTCTCCCCCTCACTACCCTCTCTCCCTCTACTTAAAAAAAAAAAAA